TATCGATGTTCGTTTGTGATATGACGCTTGATCCTGAGAATGAGTGACAAAATTCACTTCCAAGTGAGCAAAAGAGATGAACAGAATTCTTCTTATGAATGTTCGTTTGTGATATGATATTCGATCATGAGAGCGAGTGGCAACGTTTGGTTGAAAGTGAGCAAACGAGATGAAGAGAAGTATGTTGATGAAAGCTCGCTTGTGATGTAATGTTGGATGATGAGAGTGAGATACAACATTTGGTTCGAAGTGAGCAAAAGAGGTAAACAAAAGTATCATTATGAATGTTCATTTACGATTCAATGTTCGATGATGAGAGTGACTGATAATGTTCGGTTGAAAGTGACTAACCAGGTGAACAGAACTATCTTGATAAATGTCCATTTGTGATATGATATTCGATGACGAATGAGTGGTAAAATTTGGTTTATAGTGAGCAAAAAAGATGAACAAAAGTATCATTATGAATATTCGTTTATGATGCAATGTTCGATGGTGAGAGTGAGTGACAATGTTTAGTTGGAACTGAGCAAACTAGGCGAACAGAAGTCTTTTGATGAATATTCACATCTGATGTGATGTTCGATGATGAATGAGTGGCAACGTTTGGTTCAAAGTGAACAAAAGAGATGAAGGGAAGTATCTTGATAAGTGTTCGTTTGTAACATGATGTTCGATTATGAGAATGAGTAGCAACATTTGCTTCGAAGTGAGCAAAAGAGGTGAACAGAAATTTGGTGAATAATGTCCGTTTATGATGTAATGTTCGATGATGAGAGTGAATGGCAAGTTTTGGTTCGAAGTGAGCAAAAGCGGTGAACATAATTTTGCTTGTGAATGTTTGTTTGTGACGTGATGTTCGTTGACGAGAGTGAATGGCAACGTTTGATACGAAGCGAGAAAAAGAGATGAACAGAAGTCTGATAATGAGTGTTCGTTTATGATGTGATGTTCGATGACGAGAGTGAGTGGCAACATTTGTTTCGAAGTGAGTAAAAGAGGTGAACAGAAATGTTATGGGTAATGTTCGTTTGTGATGTGATGTTCAATGATGAGAGTGAACGGGAATATTTGCTTCAAAGTGAGCAAAAGAGGTGAACAGAAGTCTGGTGAAGAATGTCCATTGGTGATGTGATGTTCGATGATAAGAGTGAGTGGCAAGTTTTGGTTCGAAGTGAGCAAAAGAGGTGAGCAGATGCATCTTGATGAATGTGCGTTTGTGCTATGATGTTCAACGATGAGGGTAAGCGGCAACGTTTGGTTCGGAGTGAGCAAAACAGGTGAACAAAAGCATCATTATGAACGTTTGTTCGTGATGCGGTGTTAGATGGTGAGAGTGATTGGCAACGTTTGACTGAATGTGAGGAAAAGAGGTGAAGAGAAATATATTGATGAATGTTCGTTTGTACTGTGATGTTCGATGATGAGAGTGAGTGTCAATGTTTGGTTCGAAGTAAGGAAAAGAGGTGAACACAAGTATCATTATAAATGGTCTTTGGTGGTGTGATGCTTGATGATGAGAATAAGTAACAAGGTTTGATTCGAAGTGAGCAAAAGAGGTGAAAAGAATTCTACTTATGAATGGTTGTTTATAATGTGATGTGCGAGGAGGAGAGTGAGTAGAAGTATTTGGTCGGAAGTGAGCAAAAGAGGTGAGCAGGAATGTGATAATGAACGTTTCTTGGTGATGTGATGTTCGCTAGTGACAGTGAGTGGCAATGTTTTGTTGGAAGTGCACAAAAGAGGTGAACAGAAGTATCTTGATGAATGTACGTTTGTGGTGTGATGTTCGATGTAAAAAGTGCGTAGCAATATTTGGTTGATAGTGAGCAAAGTGGTTGAACAGAAGTCTTGTTTGTGTAATGATAATGTGCGTCATTGACTTGATAATAACGCAATATTTTGCAAAAATAATTCAGTAGTTTTAAAAGAAATTTTTTTTAAAATAAAAGAAGGTTACAACATTTTTTTGCATTAAATAAAATGTGCATTTTATACTCTGAGGGCCTACCGGATCTTAGTTTTTTGGGATTTATTTTTCCTGCAGGATTTATTAATGTGTATCAGTATTTCCGTGCTCTCACAGTGTTGGTATGCATGTATGCATTGAGTTGTGTCACAATCTCAGCGTACCCACAGTGCAAGTATGTATGTATTTACTAGGATATTGTATGAGATTTATCCCAGAACTATTGTACATATGGATTTATTAAAAAATCCCAAAAAAATAAGTGTCGGTAGCTGCTGATTGAATTCTGTCAGAATCTTGAAATCCCGTAGTTACATACTTTCTTCAGGACTTTATTATTTCCTTAGGAAAAAAACAGCAAATCCTTGCAGGATTCTTGTCGAATCTGTTAAGGATCTTGAACAAAAACATTAAAGATTTTCTCTAGAATTGTTTGAGTTCTTGAAGAAAATATTACAACTTAATCGATCAATATTTTCCACTAGAACCGCATTGGACAGAAAGATGGCACACAAAATCTACGGGATTTCGAAGCATTTTACGGTACCATTAGATTACCGCACGAATGTAAGAATTTTCACTAAAAATTTTGTAATGTCATAGGTTCTGTAAAAGAAACCCTTTCTGATTTCGCAGCAGAAATACTACCATACTGAACCTCAAAAAAGTATTGCCACCAAAAAGATTTCGTCCTCATCGATTCTGAGAAAAAGTAGTTATGCAGAACGTTGTTATTTAATTGATATAAAACAATACTGTGCATCGAAAGCTAATCTATTAACTATCGGTATGAAAATAGTCGAAATTCAAATAGATAAATATGAGAAAAAGTGTGACACTAACGGAAACAAAATATGCATTAATCACCGTTCATTGTCTAACAATGAAAAATATAATCTATCAACGTTATGCGTCAATCTTTTCCTCTTTTTGTCGTTTGTTCTTCGTTTTTCTTGGACGTCAATGTATAGCAAGACATTATCTGATAACGTATATCAAACGAAACGATATAAAACAGTAAGGAAACGGTCCATCTCTGATACAGTTAATACGTTAAGTGGTAGTTTTATCACGAGCCATATTAGATAAGAACTGTATTCTTTCGTATTTTTTCCGTTCTTCGGCAATTATTACTTATTTCTATTTACCTTTGGAAGATTGATACGATGTAATTTTTCTTTCATCGGTTTACGAGTCTCAAGTATATGAAAGTGACAAAACACCAGTTTAGAACAGTTGTTTCCACTGATGTATGTTCGCCACCACAGTTGATTTTGCACATCCATAATATATAGAAGCACATGCCACCACTCGTTCTAGACCGACTACTATTAATGTGGATGTCATTATTCTCTCGTCTATTTATGAGTGTTGAATAGAAGAGAAAGGGGGAAGGAAAAAAAATACTAGTCTATAATAGTAATTCTCATTGATATATACACTGTAAAAAGTGCTATCCATCTAAGAAGACGGTGCATCTGTTTACAGTCTGATTTAGACGCAAGTAAGATAAGAAATGCATCTTTTTCATTATCCTAACTGGATATGTAATCAACCAACTATAAACATATAGAACCAAGTTTGATGTGACCGAAATATATCTAAGGCAAGGTATTTTTCAATAAAACTTTTTTAAAGATTCGATTAAATACGGTAAGGATTTAATTAATTGTAACTCAATGTAAATATGATATTTTGAAATTGATTCTCAGAGTAACTCTAATAAAATAGCTACTAATAATATTAGCGACCAAGAAAACAGTGTAAACCTTTTTTTTTAGTAACTAACTCGAATAAAAATTCTTTATTCTTCATAAAACAGATGTATCAATAACAATAAACGAGCACTTTCTTTCGTTTTATTTTTGTTAATCTAAAATGATTATTCATAAGTTGAACAACGATCAGTTTTTGTTTTTACTATAAACTTAATTTTTGATTCCATTCTTTTAACTTTGATAATATCCCTATCCTACAACTATTCTAGTGCTACTAAACATTATCAAAACCAAAGATTAAACAAATAAAGATGACTATTTTTTACTATGTTACATTATTAGACAAAAATTTTTCGAAAAGCAATAACGCTTGAGTATTTCTTATTACTAATTTGCTGTTATATATTGTAGACAAGACACCAATTTTATAGTAATGATAATTTTATACGAAAGTGCTAACGAACATAACTTATTTTGAAGATAGGTATTGTCATTTTATTTTAATGTTTTTTTCCGTCCGATTTAGCACAGTCTAACTGATCACCGTCTTACGACTAATGTACTAATTGTATTATTAATACTTACAAAGTCTATATAGATCACGTGAAGCTATTCAGTAAGTTTTTTTTTCGAAATTGTGAGTGTTCATCTTTTCTTTTTTTAAGTTATTCTTGATGATTTATGTTATTATCTGAATATAAAGAAACATTTTATTTATACTATATTTTTTCACTTTATATCGCACTGTGTTATGTATTTTTTTTCTAGATTATATTAGCATAATGAATATCTATGCCATCGTTAACTTAAACAACGTTCTGATTTAATGCTTTAGTTAATCTACTAGATATTTGTTCTGGAATTGAATGCATTTTCATATGAGCTGAATTCGACAAAAAATGGAATTGATGAAAGAGGAAACAGTTAACTATTTCATCAAAAATATTTTCTTCTCCTCATATTGTTCACATCGTAGTACACTGATTTTCAGATTAAATAACTCGTACATCACTTAAAATGTCTAGAAAAGACAGATGCTAGACATTTCATTCATTGGTGTAAATCGTTCAATCGAACACTTTCAAAATATGTCAGTCTTTAAATTGGTTATCTGTTGAGATATGAACTGTCTAACTTAGATTTGCCTTCCATCATCTAGACGTTAACTATAGTTTTTTGTTTTAGTGGCCGAACAATTTTGTCTATATATGTCATGCGTCTTGTTATTTTAGATTGTGTTCGGCACCACAACTGATTGTGCACATTCATATAAGATTAAAGCAGATAGCACTACCCAGACTAGATCAATTACCATGAGTTCGAATGACGAGAATGGTAAAGTCATCTATGTGACTCTTAACTACGAGTGAGTCAATAAATCTATTTCTACTGACATTTTGATTTGTGTGTGATGTAGAGAAATTATGGAGACGCCGTTGTCTAAATGCGGTGGTCCAACGCGACACTATGCTCCATCAAAACCACAAGAGGTGTTCGAAACGGTATAACAAATCATACGCGTTGATGATGTTGAATTGATAACAAATTGTTCACGTATGTTTAGTATCGAAATCTGATCAACGAACATATTCGCAAGAAATGGCCTAACATCTCTGCTAACTTCACCTTGGATCCTTTTCATGGCTATTTTAACTGCAATGGTTATGGTGGTCGATACACATTCAAAGTTAGTTTGCCTATAGAACAAAACTCGATGTTTGTCTTTCTTATACATAGTGCGATGTTCCTGGTGTCGGTTTGGTGGTTGTGGTAATCATTGAACCATTTGAGGCAAGCGATGGAGAATTGGCCAATGACATGGCAGAAAGAAAACGACGAGCACAAATCGATGTCAGTTGAATCCTGTTCAAAACGTTTTTTTAATCAATTCCTTTGCATATGATGAATAGCAGTGATTTTTATCAACTTGAGATTCTATTTCATCAAATGAAATAATCAATTTTCTATCAAAATAAAATATTATTCTTGCTTCCGACACATTCGTACTTAATAATTGGTCAATCGAGAACATTTGTAAAACTTCCGACAGTAATCAGTATTTTGTGAAATACGAAACGAAAACAAGAAATTAACTAGCCAGCAAATATCGCCATTGAGACAAGGATATAGTCTATTGCTGTGGGGAAACTTCATATGAACAAGCAGCCGTGACCGGTTTCGTCCTTGGTTAAGAAACTCCTCAGACGGCATGTCCAAATTCATCATTATCAATTAATGATAATAACGAAACCGTTTAATCTACCCCTATCAAAGACAGAGGAGACACAGTGTCAAGTATGGCTACTCATTATGAACAAGCAGCCGTCTGATGAATCCCTTTATCAAGGACGAAACTGGCCACGGCAGCTTCTTCATATTGAGTAGCCATACTTAACACTGTATCTCCTCTGTCTTTGATAGGGGAAGATTAAACAGTTTCGTTATGATTATTAATTGATAATGATGAATTTGGACATACCGTCTGAGGAGTTCCTTAAGCAAGGACGAAACCAGTCACGGATGCTTATTCCTTTATAATTGATAAGTTTGATCTATTTTTATTTGAAATAATTATTTAATACAGCTGAAAAGCGTCCCAATCCGCAAAAAAGATGCTACTGTAGACAGAAAGATAAGTTGAATGGAAGCGTATTTAAGGTTTCTTAATATTTAAGTATTTTCACAGTTACATGATGGCAGTTGTCAACAAGATCTTGACAAAAGAACTTAATCTTTTCTGATATTTTGCTATGAAAGCATGAACTAATAATTACTAGGTATTGAGACTCTATGAGACTTGGCCAAAATTAGTCCAGAAAAGTGAGCTCAAAGTTTCGAAATTAAAAATCTGTAGTTTAGATCAGTATTACCTTCTAATATCTGGCTAATTTTTCGTGCGTATAAACAAATTTATTCAACATGCTCCAAGATTCTCATCCTAGGAAGGGAAAATGTTAGTCACTATTTAGGACTGGGATTTTGACAATGATTGAAAAACTATCGTTTGGAAACTTCCAGGCTTATGTATCTTGATCATTGAAATCACAAAAACTGTTAAAAAACAAAAAAATAGGCAGGTTTTAGTGCCCTCAAAAATTCTTAAAATTTGAAAAAAATCCGATAAAAATCGGCCGGTCTAAAAAGATGGACCGAACCGGACTGGTAACCGGCAGACTAAACGATCTGGTTCCAACTATGAGATGACCATCACCTCCTGCGAAACATGAGCATTTCTGAGGAAGATTATTTTTCTCCTGCAGGAGTACTATATAAATTCTTTGATAAGATCACTATCGAAATGAACTGAGCGTCAAAATACATCTGCACTACATTCGCCTTTTATAAAAGAAAAGAATTCATGAGAAAGTGATTCATTATGAATTACTATAAGTGAGAAAAAAGCCAAACAGTGTAAACAAATCCAAAAAAGAGTTTCTTTTGGTCGAAATGCGAACGAGTTAACAACATTATTTTCAAAACATTGAAAAAGTGTCATGTGAATATTTGTGATTGTTTTTGTAATTTCTTTTGATAAATCAATCGGTACAAGGATATCTCCATTGGAGAGAAGAATCACACCGATAGTGTTCTTCTCATTAGCCAGCATTAAATCAACCCCGATCCATAAACTCTTTCTATTCCTGAGTTATGAAATCAATAATGAAGATAGATTGCATACATTATAACTTTTTTATACTTCATGCAATCGGGATACGAATGATGTCAAAGATCAGTATTCATTGAGAATTATGTGAACACTTGTTTTCAGATCTACAACTCATATTGTGACTGAGATTTGAGGGGAGAGGAATAGCTGTGGTCAGTAGTGTATAATAATGAAAATTCTTTTATGTTAAGATTGCTTGTAATATGATTAAAACTGACTGTTATTTTTCTTCTTTGACACATTATAGTTCTAAAGAATTATTCATTTGCAAAGACAAAAATAAATATTTGTTTCATATAAAACAACTGTTTCAAAAGAAGTAAATGAACATTAATTAAAAGACAAAGCTTCTTAACATAATCATCATTGTCTTGATGAATTAAAGAGTAATCGATAATTTAACTGACGTCACCAATCAAAAGTTTTCAAATCTGATATAAAAATTTAATCACGTAATTTTCTTTGAAGATCTATACATTAACACCAATTATCTTTTAATTTCTTACTCACCTTAAACATATTGAAAAACACAAACAAAAAATTTTTTAATGTTTATTAAACTAGTTCGTTTCTATTTTAAAAGACAAATATGTACACTATCATTCAATCGTCTATTTATATATTCAGATTTTATTTCTGTAGAAATTGATGTTTGAATAATTTCTGTTCATGATTAATCAATATATCTACTTTTCCTTGTTATTCCCATATCCATATTTGGATATAATCGGTCCAATATGGATCTTTTGTAATCAAACATTTTGATGGTAAGCGATCTTTTAACCATTCAATAAGTTCATCTTCATTTCGTATTTTTCTATTAAAGGATGCATCATCGTCTTCCATTATGCACAAATATTCAGGGTGTGGGTGTGGAATGTGGATTTGGACGTAGATAAGAAGAGCACCCACACCCGCACACTCAAGAAGCAATTATTCGATTGTAGCACTCAATTAGTTTGTTGTGTTAGGCAAGAGCAGCAATAGAAGTAATCGAACAAGAACGATTGATAAAGAGATTGTCGAAGTTGATTATTTTTAAATAAACATCATCTTTTTCAGATCATTTGTTTTCAACTTTAGGACTTTTTCCAAACGCTTTATTTAGATGAGAGACTTCAACTAAAATCGACAATAACAATAACAGATGAAATTGAATCTGAAATCATCTTACAACACAGCATATCTTTTTTATCTCCTCACATTTCTGATAAAGGAAAACCAATCTTTGAAGAACTTTTTTCTTCTCTTCATCGAATAGGATGATCATTATCGAAACCTGCTGAAGTATTATTATCAAAGTGATTGATTGATCGCTTCACTCTCTGATTAGAAGCAAACAGAAATAAAAAGTTTTGACGACAATTTGAGAATAAATACTTTCTCAAGAGTTCATCTTCTTTCGATATACTCAGATGAAGTTCACTGTCGATCTTCGATATATTTCCACTTCATTTATATTTGAGTCAAGTTGAAAAGAACAGAACATTATTGTTCCTCTGTCTTTATTTCGGTTTGGAATCTATAGATTGTAATCTATATCAGTTGAATAAAGCTTCTAAGAATAACTTTAATTTTCTATGAACAGAAAAAAAATAAAGATTGATAATTTACAATGGTAATGTATTTTGAGTCGGACGATCAAGTTTAACTCTTCTGTATTTAAATAAACGATAAAGTCCTATAGCAATTGATGTAATAGCGAAACAAGACGAAATAGTGGCCACAAAAAGTAATGCACGTGGATGTCCTTCTATTCCGCTATAAAGATTCATTCCATAGATAGCTGTTATAAAAGCTCCAATGCTGAATCCCATTGTAATAATATTGATTCGTATTTCAAGCGCTAGAAGTTCATTTCTGACAGCATCAAGCATAAATCCCGTTGTACTTTCGACATTTTGAACAGAATCTTTCAGATCATAAACTAATCGACAAACTTCAGCGATCTGTTTCGCACAAGATTCGAGTAAAAGTTCAATTTCGCTCAAATCAGATGAATCACTTTGCCGATTTTCAGTCAAATACAATCCGATCATATCTTCGTCATAAGCGAGTAAATCGAGCCAAGCTTGATGTGCAAGATCAGCATTTCGATGATGTTTATCGACATTACTTTTAATAAAGGCCAGTTTACGAAGACTTTCAATACTTATTCGAGCATAACTACTTCGACGTATTTTTTCAAATTCCATGATAATATCTTGAGTTTTCAATTTTAGCCCATATGCTATCGATTCTCCGATGATTTCCATAATTTGTAATTCGAATGGCATTTGAGAAAATGATTTTGTGTTCTCTGTAATGTACCGTTGATTGTAAACTTCATGAATATATCGAACATTTCGATGGTAAGCATGAGTAATCTTTTCCCATTCAGCGACATTCTTGATTCCAAATGGTTCAGAAGGAATGTTTTCATTCGATGGAACGAAGAAAATACTTCGATAGGGTTGAATAATAGTTCGATGGCGTCGAAACGAAAATAGAATAAATTTTCCATGACGAGCACTAATAACAGGAACATTGATACGAAAATCTGTATCGAGCTTTTGCAAATCACGTGGTCCAATATTATATTCACGACAGATTTCAGCTCGATCAAATGGACCATGGTGGACGCGAAGAACACCATCGGGTGTTAAAATATGAATATCACTATTCAGTACACGAGAATCAACAGGAATAATCTCCAATCGGTGTTTTGATCTTCGTAATTCAGTTGATGATTTGGAAAGAATACGACTAGCATCAAACCAACGATGATGTCTTTGTTTAGAATTGAGAAAGAGTGTTTTACAATTTATTGTACAGAGTTGCTTCCGAAGAGTAGATAGAAAGATAGACATTATCGACACACAACTAGACCTTCTTTGCGAGTGATCATCAACACCAAAATGAAGCAGACAATTCAAACGATATCGCTTTTGTCTCCAGCACAGCTTGTCACGTGGAGACAGAACGAAAAAAGATTTATTTTTATTTTCTCTTACTGCATCAAAAGATAAGAGAATGAGAAAGAGAATAACGCCAATTGAAACTGTAGCTTCAGTAGTGAAGCAACGTCTATGTCTATACAGCACGGTACCGTTATATAATCAAATCATTATTTTTCTTTCATTTGAAACTTCTACTTAATTTTTAGGTAAAGAATTAACATTAACAACTCCACTAGATAATAATCCAGCACTTGTTCCATTACATTCGCACGATAAACGTCCAGAATATTTAATTTATGCTGGAATTGTATTCACAGTATTAACCCGCTTTTATTTATATGAATGGAGTAAATATTGATGGTATGAAAAAGCTCCAAAACATTTAGTTAGCTTAGCACATAATGGTGAATTACAAGAACTAAATCAACAAATTGTTATTATTAATCAAATACTTGTTGATGATGTCAATTATGGAATAGATTCAGACGTTATAGATTCTGTATTAAGAACTGTCAATAGTATTAAAATTAAGAATATTAAACATCTAGCAGAATTAATTGATGAAATATCAAATAACGAAGATGATGATTATATTCGATTTGAAACGGAGTCCAAAAAATTTGTAGTAATTTCATGTAAAGAAGCCAAACAATCAGAAGCAAGAATTTTAAAACAAAATTCAATAGCCCAAGCAAGAAATGAAAATTTACGTTAATCTCTCTTGCTGTCGTTTTTTTCTAATCTACTACTTTTCTAGTTCAAAAAACATTAGAATTTTGCACTTCTCTCAAATAGTCTATGTGAATAAAAATTGAACGTTTGTAATAACCTAAACTGGTAGAATATTAAACTTAGTTTGATTTTGAAATTTTATTCTGGAAAATTACTGATGTAAAAGTTTCAAAGAAAAGTTATTTCTACATGTGATTTTATGGATAGTGGATATACCTCAATAGTAAATTTTCATCATAAGAATATGATTGCAAACATAGTGATCTGTAATTAATAGCCATATTTCGACATTAGAGAATGAAAAATCTATTTAATTGTATTTGTATCATCTTATAGAGAACTGAGTTCTCTATCACTCTCTATACATTTTAATGACTATCCAAAGCAGACGTCCTTGTTTAACAATTGTACTATAACCAGGGTCATTTCAAACTCTGTTGTGGAAAAACCAGAAAATAAGTTGAAAATTATTTTTTACATCTCAGATTGGAATAGTGAATGGCATCTTTTACCAATGGAACTATGAAGTGCCTGATGAATCATCAGAAGCCGCATCATAGGAGAAAAACGGATGTAATGGCATCATTCTGTTGTGCCGATTATTTTCTCTCTTTCCGTACTTTTCTTTGCTTTGGTATGGAGGGCACGTACACACTGTTTCTCTTTTCCTTTTTACCCTTCATGATATCATTTACATTTCACTCGTTTATGACTCAGGAATTTTCTATCGCGCTATTCTGACGTTACCATATATCTCGAACTTTCGTTCGTTCTATTGCGGATATATAATTTGAATAATAACGTTCAGAAAACTGAAAAAATAGAACGATGGAAAGCAAAAGTTGGTTGAAAGAAGAAAGCAACGACGATTTCTCTTACGAGTCTGCAGAGAGTACCTTAGAAAGGGAAGATGCTGCAAGTGAAGTGTCGGAGGCTGAAGATGAAATCGATCTGGAAGATATTGCCTTACACGAAGACTATGATCAAAAGAAACTATTTACATCCAAATCTGGAATGAGGGTGTGGATGTCACTTGAGAGAATACTGACACCCACACCCTGTTGTCGAAGTGTGCTTCAGAAATCAACACGAGATGGTCAGATCAAGCTAATATTTTGGATTTAATAATAACTCTTAAAGGCCTTTCTTTTCGGAATATCAAATCGAAAGTCAAAATTTTTTTTCCCGACCATGATATCTGGTATTTTGGCGGACCTTCTCTTAAACATTAACATTCTCTCTTCACACTATTATAGATTTTACTACTGTCAAATGAAATCTTAAAAAATGGTTTTTATTCGATCATAGAAATTAATGAAGATGACAAATGAATATATATACTTCTTGTATGGATGTGATTATGAACATTGATGTACATATGTGTAGATATACATGTAGTTTGAACGTGCAATAAACTTTTTGATTATTCAAGTCAAAGGATATTTTTCTGTTTGTCTAAACTATCAATATAATTCAGTATTATTCAATAGTTAATAAATAAAATTTTATAGAACTATTCTATATTTATTCTTTGAGTAACTAACAATACATAACCTAGAGAAATAATGCTTTTTGTTCTAATATTAATATACTTGTCTAATTTTGTCATATCTTTTTTGTTCAAGAAAAAATATCTAGCATAAAAATGAACTTGACTAATCAACACAAATATTGATTCGAATTCAGTTTGTTTTTCTTATTATTGAACAATGCCAAAAATCTAATTCGATGACTAATAACAAATAAAATTAAACGTTTTGTTGTTGCTCTTCGTGTGATGGATCGCCTTTCGTGGTGGTTGTATCACCATCCATTTCCACTTGATTGTCATTTGTCTTTTTTCGTTGTAATAAAGGAATAGCAAAGAGTACGATACCACTGATAACAGTACAAGTACCAAAAATAAAATACGGCCAAAGAAACGGTCGAGCAAATTTAGCAAAAGCATCTCGCATGCGACCTATAAATAATATATGGTGAAAGAAATGTAACAAAAAACAAAACAAAAGGAAATTTACTAGACTATATAAATACTTACCTACAATTGGTGTTCCAATGGCAGTAGCAATACCAACAAAAAGTAAAAAAACACCGAATGCATCCGATAGTTTATTAATACCAACTATATCAACAAGAACAATTGCTGTTAAAGTAACATAACCACCTGAAAAGAAGCCAAAAGCAGATGCATAACCGATATGTAGAAAAATAGAAGCACCACATAATGGAGCAATCATTGTAGCAACACCAGAAATAATCAATGCTACAATAAAAAGTACAAGTCGATTTACCTATAAAATAAAAATGATTTTATCAAATACTAAATCTTCATATCATAAAATTTTCTTACACATTTTCGATCACCAAAAAAACCAATAATAATACGACCAAAAATATTTGAGATACCAATTGACATAACAATATATGATCGATGATGTATAGCAACATTTCCATCCTTTGCAAGATCATCAGCAAAATTGTAAATGACATTAAAGCCAAGACTTGTAAAAAAATTCGATATAACAAACAATGTAAATGCAGGATTTTTTAATAGACTAAGATCGATTTGTTCGATAATTTGACGAAAAAAAGATTTGTTTGATGATTTCACAATGATGTCAACTGAAAATATTGTTTTAATTATTCTTGAAAAAGAATTCAACAGATGGATTTACCTTCATTGTCATCCGTTTCTGATGTTGATTTTTGTTGACTTTCTTTAAGTATTTTTCGCTCTAGACGTCGTTGTTCACTAGGTTCTTGTGGTAGAGGACGCTAAACAAAGAATTTATCTTTTCATAAATTGACTAGAAGGTTTTTTATTCATTTAAGAAATTTTTTTTTCCGTCTAATTACCATAAGATAGCCACATAGAAGACTAATTATGATAATAAAACATTCAATGAGTAATGCATTCTCATAGTTGATCCATGTCTTTACATTGACAATTTCGTTCATGATATAAGATAGTACACTTGTACCCACACCTGAACCACATACAGCAATACCCATAGCAAATGTACGTTTTTTTTCAAAATAAAATCCGACAGAGACAATAGCTGGCAAATACATCAGTGCAAAACCAAGACCTGAAAATATCAACAATATGAATAATACGTAGAAAACAATTCATATATATCTATTACAATTATTGAGAAAAACTTAAGCAGATTTGTTTTTGTTTTTCAAAGTTTCTTATACAGAAAAAGATACGAAATTTAAGTTCTAAGAAATTTTCGTAATATAAAAAAAAGGAAGTTAATTATCATGAAAATAAAAAATCGTATTCAATTGAAAAATCAATGTCCACAGTTTTCTTAATTGATGAATCAGATAGAGCACGTATATAGTTTGTCAAAAAATTATTCATTCATTCATACGAGTCTGCCCTATCAAAATCTTGTTTCAGCATGTTTTAACAAGAATTTCGAATAGATGTTTGTTTTGCAATACTTCTATCTAAACAGACATCAATCAGTTTCAACTGTAGTCGTGCTAGATATGCGTATAGTTTAGGATATTGAGAAATAGATAGCACAATTTCTAAATCATTCTATCTATCCATTATTATCTTTAAAATTTAATGAATCATCTATTTCTTGGTACTACTGCAGTTTAAGTACAGCGCAGTACTCTCACTCTTTAATGTGCATTGTCAATTAATATACGGAGTGTACTTAATCTGCCGTGGAAGCTCATAATATTCTTTCGATATTATTCAGTGAACTTAGGATTAATCGGGATCAAAAAAATACATTCATATTCAGAATTACGAGGTGTTCTTAAAGATGGGATTTTCACAAGATGAGATTTTATTGTATCTATGTTTTCCCTCGGTATTGTAAACAAAATAATTCAAATATGCTAAATATGTATAAAAAAAGTTATTTGTCCATTTTAGAAAATGTATGCAACTTTAATCAATAGTTATGAATAGTAGAATTTTTCGATTCTATTTATGATTGTCGATGTTAGTGAGTATATATCAGTTTAAACCTGAAAATTCTGACTGATGAGTTTGACTCTTGTTTTTTAAACTAAGAAAAATTATGGATTAGAATTTCCTAGCTTTCCATCGAGACTTTCTGGAAAAAGAGCAATAAAGAGGATTGACCATTAAGAAAAAAAGAAAGAGGATAAAGATAGACTTTGTCTTCATCTGCAAATATTTTGAGAAAGATTCGTAGCGGTAACGAGAAAATATCTGAAATTTGTACAGTCTGTTTTCTGCTATTCCGTTATTGGTAGATGATAAATAATGTCAAAAAACGCAAAATAGTACAAAAAACACAGCAAGAGGATAAAAAAAAACATCGTGAAAATGATGAAACGGACAAAAAATTGATATATTTCATTTCCATCAATTAAAATGGAGATTTTCACTGATTTCATATCTTCATTTTGATTGCTAATCAAAGTCATCAAATGAAGATGATTGAAAACCAAAACAACGAAATGAGATTAATGAAAATTTTCATTTGAATCGATGAAAACGAAATAAAACGATTTTTTTATCTGTTTCATCATTAAAAAAATGCCATTTTTTTCATGTTTTTCACACGAAGGTCATATCATTTCTTTTCACTTTTTTCAATAGAAAACTCGAATATTTGGAAAACACTGCAAACTTTCAGCTTATTTCACAAAAATTACACTTTTCAATATCGATTTTCCCTGAAAAAGAGGAGAAAGACGAAGGTTGAAATGCTAGATTAGAATATAAAAGAAATGATTACTGGTATAATAACCATATTACAAGAAACGATTCGTTTTGAGATTCAATACAAGCAACATTTTTTTATTTTAGAGAGCTCTGTTCAGCATGATGATGACGTCGAGAAATTGATGCATTGTGTTTTTATTGGCTTTATTTTAATGAGGAAAAGTTTTATTCCATATTTTCTTCACTATTAGAAAAGCTTTCCTGTTTTTTGTTCTACGTAAGATGTTATTTGTATCAATAATATTAATTTAATAATTTTCTAATCTTTTGTCCATTTAAACAGACTTTGACGTTATTCAAAATCGATACTTTCATATGCAGTAATGATTTCTTTTATATATCGATCTTAATATTTGTCTCAGTTAGAAAGAAAAACATAGCTTCTATCATTCAGAAGTTTAAAAACTTATTCCATTGGAGTAGTTGAAGTGAAGAATGTAATCATTGACAGTTAGAGTCATGAATGAAATCGAAAAATTCTCTGATTAATAATTATCGATTGAAACTGCATACATTTTCGAAAATGGATAAAATTTTCAATCATCAATATTTAGTACGATTAGATCATGAAAACAAATGTATAATATTCTTGAAAAGTACGAAATATAAACTAAGTAAGATATACTAGATAAAAGTACATAATAGAACTTTTTAATCTATTGTGACTTATTACAACAAATAGAACAAGATAAACTCATATAGATAGACGAATCATTATTCGAGCAACTTGATGAAAAGTCTTTGGTCTCTTATAATATCTATATCATCATGTAAATTGTATTCATATCTTTTAAAATAATAAAATTGCATACCTCCAATAAAACCAATTGTTATATAATAAAACCAGACGTTCGCCCATAATCGACTAAGAAAAAATCCAAAAGCAGCAATACAAGTACCTGCTATTGCTACTATACGACATCCATACATATTCGTAAGTACAGTTGCGATTGGTCCTATAAAAATTAGAAATATAATTATCAGAAGAACACAACAATCGAATCAAAATCATAATTAGTTTACCTGCACCAAGAGTAACAGCTGGTAGAATACCGAAAATAGCTGAAACTGAAGCTCGATCAAGTGCAAGTTTTGTACGCATGGGGTCTAAGAATGTTTGACTCATTGAATATGTTATTCTAAATATTTTTAATATGAAATTGATAAAATGAAATAAAAAGAATGATATATCACCTACCCATCCATAATGAAATGAATCAAGAATGATGCCAAGACAACCATCCATCCCCATCCACCATCGGGTACAATTGCTTTTTTACTTGATTTTTTTTTCTTATCATTTTCTTCCATTATTGTTTTTGATTTTTGAATTATTATCTTCTGAAATAAACAATCTTTATAAGAAATATAATAGCTCTAGAAATTATTCATCACTCATGATGAACATTAAAAATAAATGTTTAAATGACTTCTAAAGATGAGTATCGAGAGTGTGTTTCAAACAGTGAGAGATGGTGGTGAATCTTATTCTGACTTTTATATCATCTGTTAAATGAACGACTAGTGTGATTATGATCCTAGTGGTTATCATTCAATAGATACAAAAAAAAAATGTGTAAAAAAAATGAAGTTGCCAATGCTTAAATACAATTGGATAAACCAAATAAAACATTATCATTTTTTCGCTAAACATGTTATATAATTTTATACATTTGATTTTTTATCTTCTATTAACATTATATGTTTACATATTGAATAAAACATCAAAGAAAAACAATTCAATTTAATTATGATCTATATCAGACGCTTAAAATGAACATAAAAGTAAACCTTTCTAATGAAATATCACTATTTGAATGATCACAATAAATTATTTCGAACGAAACAATTCAAAATACAAAAGATGTCTTCAACTTTTGATTTCCTTACATTCCTATTGTAAAAAAGAAAATCTTAACTTACAATGTACACTTTGAATAAAATTATTATATGTGTGCGAATAAAAGTTACCTACTTGTATCAAACACAAATGAGTCGCTTCGAATGAACGAAAAATATGTTCTCTTCCTTTCATATGAACGTGATCAATAGAATGATGCAATGTTGTCATGTGAACTCAGTGAAGCATGACGAAATGTTATAGAACAAATATAATAAAGAGTGATCAAATGTTCTATAATGTTTCGTATACTCAAAGAGAATTTCTTGTGCAAAGGAAAAGCTTATACGTACTTGCATTGTTGTTATTAAAATAAATGTAAATACATAATGGTGAAACACATTGTCATGATATTCTATTCTTTTTTTCTTATTTGAAAACTATAAATTATATGTCATTGTATATTGTAAATATCAAAATTAGTGGATAATACGTAAATTAGAATTACATTAGATAGCATTCGCTACGAAACAGATTTGTACATGGAATCTATAATGTATATTAGAACTAGAACAGTTGTTCGGTCAATATTTTGCAGTAAGATAACCACCAAATACAGAAAGAAAAATTATAAAAAGCACATTATTCCATTTCGATATAAATTTTTACACTTGATTGTACTAATACATGATTTTCTGAATCTTTCAATTGAATATTGGTTCTTCTCTCATTTTCAAAACTCGTTTATAGTAAATTGTTGTCAATCATTTTCCATTACGATATTTGATAAAATCTGAATTGATTATAATCAAAATAAATTCGAACGATTAAGAAAAAGTTGATTGTTTCGATTGACTGTGATTGAAAATGAGAATTTGGGTGTTGATGTGCACATGGATGAAAGAGGAAAGAGTGTCCACACCCAAGACGATTGTTTGCTGGAAAATGTGACTTATTAAACAAGACTTAAATACATGTTTTTATTTGTATGTCCCAAAAATCACTGTGAAAGGAGAACTATATATAACAAGAATATTTGAAAGTGTGCTATTAGAAAATCAATTGAATTAAATATTATTTAATCACAATCATCTTTTTAATGGTACAATTATTGTTCTCGAGTGCACAAACAAAGGAACAAATCGAATAACAAACAAAATATTATCAAATTTAATTACAATCGTGCCAATTTTTGCCTGACATTCATACGATGTATACCATCAAATGTGATGAATTTTTCCAGTATCTAATATCTCGAGTAGAGTTATAAGAAAGTAATTACTAGTAAAACTATTTTACTACTATGAAAATGAACTTCACTAGATTTAAATCATCAAATATTGTATTTTTGTGGATGTGAATGTGAACAGATGAAAGACACTATTGAGTTATTGAAATGAATCGTAAAGTAAAATAAACACAATATGGTGGAATTTTGACAAGTAAAAATGAACTAGGTCACACACTTCACCAATTCCTGTGTCGATTAAATGTAATCATTGATCTAAAAAAAATTGAGTCATCATAAATGATGTTGAAAATACACGATCATGGAAAGCATATTAATGCAGTTGATTTAACAATAGATGAAAACGATTATCTAGATATTTCTTGTATATTCAAAGATACAATAAACTTCAACATTATCGAATAGTAGTTTCAAAGAATGTTAACTACAAATGAAAACCAACTGTATAATCATTTCGATCGTTTAATTCGTATATTGAATCCTTAAAATAATGGTTGGGTATAATAGAATGAAGGTGATAAACAAGATAAAAATAATAATTTTCTACAACTTACTAGTTTTTATGGCGTAGTCATCGATCAATGTGATTATTGAATAATTCTTTGATCAAAAACGGCTCCATAAAAATCATCTTTAGGCAAACATTTGAAAGAATACAACTGAATCCAACTTATTGCTTCATCAACTTAGCTTTTGATCAGCAGAGTTATATATATATGTATATTATAGATTATATGAATCATTGCGTATTAAAATTTACTGTTCACTTATTGTCAAGGCAGTGACGAACTTGAGATTTTATTCCTGAGAAGCGATAGTAATTAAAAGAACATGTTTTGAAGTTTATGAGAGTGTAGTATCAACTTGTTTTTGTGAAACTCACATATATTTTTGAAAAAAATAATGACTGAAGGTTTTAAATCGAGATTTTCCGGCGCTCCTTCTCCCTAGATCCACAGACCGTGACGGGCGGGCTTCAGAAGCATATGAAACCACAAGTCAATTTTGATATATGATTCAAGACTGTCTATTAATATGATGTCATTAGGACATATCAACTATTTTGTTTAACTCTGCAGCACTAGATGAAGACTTGTACAAGAGTTAACGCAAAATATACTAAAACAAACAGTTTTTAGTGGATTAGGAAGAACAACTACAACGTGTGTCACATTTTCAATCCCATAGGGTTGCGCTATTTTTTGAATATTACAAAGTTGGGTGAATGAAATTATTTAATAGGACATTAAATATAAATGTGCCGAATTTCAAGAAGATTATGTTTTTTTAAATTATTACAATTCTATCTAATTTATTTTCACGCGTCTGACAATGCATCGTATATTGATCAAAGTCAGGCATTGTGAGTTTTACATTTTAGCCCCGTAAGGAGCTACGCTGAGAAGTTTTTTCAGTGTTTTTTGATGTGAATAACGAACAATTTGTTTGAATATGGATCTCAATTATTTATCAGAAACATTTTTGAAAGATTTCTTCTATTTTAATAGATATTCATATGAAAACAACATGTTTATCTTACTTAATATATAATTCTAATGTGAATGTCGTTGTAATTTAAAAAAAATGAATGATTGATCACGTAAATCTAAATAAGAATGTTCTTTTATTGGATCTGTATTCGCTATGGAATCTATGCTCATCATACATTTGAAATTTGATTGTCGAAAATTGTGTTCAACTTGAGTTATTTTAATCAATTACAATGTAATTGTGAAGAGAGAAAAAAACGAATCAGAAGTCTCTTAATAAATAATTATCGTTTTCATTATCCGAAGAGGAAATATCAATGCACACTTAACTACCCGCAATTCACAAATACGAGTTTTTTTTTCGTTAAATCATCTAGAGAAGGACTACTTTAGTATAAAATCTAAGTATGTGAAAAGCAATAAGTTAGCTACTGTACTTTATACATGCAACTGCTATTCATTATGAGTCTATTACTGATTTTTATATATCTTTTTTGTTTAAAATTTCAATATATTGTCTAATAAGAACATTGTTATCAATATAAAAATTCAATTTTCATTCTTCATCTTTGTGACCGATAAAAGACAATTATTAACAAAAATCAATAGTTCACAATGAAACATTAGAAAACACTAAGATAATATATATGAATCAGTCAAACAAGCATTTTTACTTGAAAATTTTCAACCAATACGTTTATAATTGTTAATAAAATGAAAATTACATTTGATTTTTCATGAATGCATCCAATTTTTGTTGAACTTCATTAAAAATGTCATCCAGCTCTCCATCTCCATTAATCTAAATCGAATGAAACAATTTAATTTTTTGAAAAAATAGACCAACACTATATAAGAATAACCTCTTCTAATCTATCTAATCTATCATAGGAATCCAAAACAGGTTTTGTTTGTTTATGGAATAGTTTCAAACGTTTTTCCGATTTTTTCTTCATTGCCATTAACTCGATTTACCCTTGGTTCAATGACTATGAGAAAGTTTGATATCGTGGAATGCTCTGACCTTTTCGGCAGCAGATAATGCATTTAACTTAACCCTTTCGAGTCGATGAGTCCCACTGGTGGGACCCGCCATATTTTAACAAGAAAATGACTAGAAAAACACTTTCTTCTGAAGAAGGTTATGGGTAATATATTATCTGCTCTCTCTGCTATTGTTTGAGTTGTTTATTGCATAGCATGATGTTTCTCGTTAAAACAACCAAGACAGTAAAATTTGTCACAATCAGAACAAAAGGTTTTTATTTTCTTTGCTGTCGCATTACTTGCTTCTCTTGATTGTTGTTGTCTGATTTTCTCGTAACAGCCAGCACAGTGTTAATGTCTATCTAATTTACAAGGAAAATTATGACAGAAGCCATATGATCATGGTACAGTTTCGTGAAAATCTTTTTCGATCTTTACTTCTTGGTACGCCATTTGAGAAACTGAAACCTGATCCGAAGCAACAATCAACAAGCCAAACGAAGCGCAAACTCGCTGATCACAAGCTCGAAGATAACGAAGGGTCGGACCGCGATGTCCAAAAACTCTGTACTGACTGCTACGAGAAAATCAGACAACAAAAATCAAGAGAAGCAAGTAATGCGACAGCAAAGAAAATAAAAACCTTTTATTGTGATTGTGACAAATTTTATTGTCTTGATTGTTTCAACGAGAAACATCATGCTATGCAATAAATAATTCAAATAATAGCAGAGAGAGCAGATGA